ATCCCTTAAATGTTCATAATTTGGTGTTCATTTAAGTGGTAGGGAACCAGCCTTGGCAGGAAGCCTGGTGGTGGTAGAGTGGCATTAAAGGAGAGAAGTCTCATTAGCACCACCTCTGGGTAGATGCAGATTTTGCAGACTAGAGCAACTAGGGGATTTTAACCTGATTCAAGAGCTGATCTCTCTCTCTCTCTCTTTTTTTGATTGTGAGAATACCATACAGAAGATTTCTTTTTTCCTTAAACAACAATCCTCTTATGTGCTTTGAGAGCTTAATTGCTAGGAAGGAAATAAAATTTGTTAAACTGATGAAATCTTTCATCATCTTTTTATGACAGCAGTTATCTGCAGATTCCTCTGGTGGTTGTTGAAAAATAATCAGTTCAAGTCTGACTCAGCTAGATGTATTAGAAAAGGGAATATGCCCTGAGAATTGCCCAGTTTTGATGGATGGAGAGGCCCCATATGTAAATAATGAAACAAAGCCACCAAGGATCTTTCTTTTGCCAAAAGAAGACCAGAAGAGCCCCATGATTGTGTGATTGGCTGGCGCCATTACATCCTCTTGTTTAACAAAGCTCTAAGGACACAGACATCAGTTGCTTATCAAAGTAGTAGCTTAAAATGTTCACAAGTCCTTATTAAATCTATTAAATATTTGTTACAAGGAGAGAGGAGAGTTTTCTCAATGCATAGAAATACTCAGCACTGTTAAATGAAAATGTACAGAAATAGCAAACATGTCGAGGATGACATTAAAACACATTTATATGATGCATAAAAATCAGAAAAATTGGAAGTGATGTGATAGTTGGCCTAACTCATTGAGTAGCTCAGGCTCTTTTTTAGTTTGGAATTATTTTTCCTTGGTAGATATTAAGACCCTCCACATATGTACATTTAAGATACATTTATGATGAGGTCCTGAGAACAGGAATGCACAAGAGGAAGAAGCAGAAATTGATGAGGGAAATTTTAATTTGCATTTTCCTTGCCTTAAATGCCTGAAATATCTTGGGTATAATGTTGTGTGAATAAGGATTTTAGTGTTTAATGTAATATGACTTAAACATTCTCCTTTTTTTGCTAAGATCTATAAAACATTTTCTATTAAGGCCTATAACTTTTCCCTTTCTTTTTTTTCTACCAAATTTAGCAAGGAAAAAAGTATATGCCAAGACTACTGTGGGACTACTCACATCTGTTCTATTATCTAGCAATAAACTTTTTGTCTTAACTCTGGGACAATCCTCATAGAAAGGGACACAAGGCTTCCTTCTAACCATAATGCTTTGCACAGTGTCATCTGGTCACTCCATTCTCCACTTTGCCTTTGTTCTTTCCAACAATCCTGTTGGGTTAGATAAAGTAATATCCATATAGTCATCAGAGGTACTGAAACTGAGCTACTTATAAAGCTGTATCTTCCTTGATATGCACAAGCTAGGAACAGTAAAAAAATCTCCCCACAACACTGTAAGTGAAGTCTAAAACATTCAATCAGGAAAACCTGAATTTGTGTTACTTCACAGCTAATCAAATCACTAGGATAAACCTTTGCATCTGGCCTGCTCGGGCCTCCCAGGACTCCATCTGTGGAATGCAAACACCCTGCTCTCTCTCAGCTGCAGTTCACACCTGCCACTGTCCACTGCAGCTTGAATCCTAGCAGATGATTCCAGGCCTGACAAGCTTCTCAGAGAGCCTAAGGGATTCCAGGAATCTCCACAGTGGGGAGATTCCCTATTTCTTGCCAAGAGATTGGGATTCCTGCAGAGATACTGAGCTGGAAGAACACTGGAGGGATACAGACCCCAATTCCAAAGACCTTGTCCCCTGCCATTGCCCTACCTGTTCCCCCTCAACATGACCTCTTCCCTCCCTCACTGAAGATGAACTCTTTCTCATTCATCAGAATGCAAATAGGGGACACATGAGGTCGGGAGCTGGTTCCCAGCCATGTAGTATTGACATCATTGAGTCTTAAAATCATAGAATCAGACATGCAAGACAGACCTCATGATTTCCAGAGCAAAGCACTTTCCCCATTTGGCTAGCACTGTTGGGGGAAAAATACCTCACTATTATTTCAGGCTACAGGAGATATTGGACACGCCTCTTTGTGCCAGAAGAGTTTGTGTTCAGCCCCTTCTTATAGAAGGGAGAAGACTTCCAACCAGAACCAAAAACCTAGGTCCAGGCCCAGTTTCCAAGTCTGGAGTCAACATGGCACAGATGACAGAGACAAAGGCAAGGGAGAGGGTGGGGAAGGAGTGCATTTCTTTCCTAACTTTTACCACGTTTGATAGGCTACTGACTGGCTTCATAAATTCTGTCTACATCTTACAAACCACTCGCCTACTCACTATCTCTGCTTAACACAGCTTATGAGTTGTATCTATTCTATTTGTTTTTCTTGTCTTCACTAGCGGAATTGAATATTCTCAAATCCTACTGCAAACATACATTGTAAGCCGAAAGATGTAGCAGTAGCAAGAAGAGGAAAGCACTGTTTCACAGTGTCAAAGAAATAGAAATCAATCAAAACAGAGGATAGCTGAGCCCTAGGAACTGTGGCGCTTTGAATGCAAAGTGGTGGGTGCCAGCCGCCATATTGGACAATGGCCTATCCTATTCCAGTATAATCTTATCTTGACCAATTACTCAATTACCTTATTTCCAATTAAAATTGACTGACAATGTGCTAGTCACTGGAACTCCAACATCCTCAGAGAGATCTACTGGGAACCTTTTCTATATGAATTTATCTCTGCTCCTTTGAAGGGTATGAATCATAATCAGCACAACTATATTCCAGGAAGCCCTACTTCCTGACTACCCCTTCACACTTCCAGTCTGCAGGTGTGAGACATCACACTTAAGATAAGAACAAGGATAGAAATCTTGAGTTTGCTACAGGAAGGAGACCCTTGGAAAATATTCAAGGCACCCTAGGGTAATTACTGTGTTTGTTGTATGACTTATTTTGACAAATATGTCAACAGAGTATAGGTGTACATACCTTCGTTCCCTAAATAATAAGAGCTACAATTTTTCAACTCAGGCCAAATATTTGTTTCCAAAGGCCACAATCTCAGTGGCTTGAAACAACAAAGCATATTATTTTCAAGTTCTCCAGGCTATGAATCCAGGATCAAGATGTCAGTGGTGTTGGTTGTTTTTCTAGGGTCTGAGAGAGAATCTGAGCCATATCTCCCTTCTACTCTTGTGATATTTTTTTGGTCTTAGTAGAGAATCAGTTCAAAAACAGTATTGCATACTAGCCACACCTTGGGGGAAAAGAACAAGGGTTTTTATTTTTACTGTAAATTACAATAGTGCTTGAAATTTTATAACAGGCATGCACTACCCTATATTGAGAAACAGCAATAAAGATACATCTTCAAGGATAAAATACAAGGCAGCAAGTTAAACCTGAATTTAAGATAAACAACAAATAAAATTTTAGTATACCGATATACCAACCATTGCACGGGATACACATATGCTACAAAATATGACTTGCTTGCCTAAAATTCAAATTTAACTCAGTAATTTCCATTTTTATTTGCTAAATCGGGCAGCTCTATTCCAAATGCACTGGTTTGGATAAGCTTTTTCTATAAATTAGACCACAGAAGGGATTTGCCCCAGAGACTGCTATAAAAAGAACAATAAGATGTCATAGCTGACCACATTAACTTCTGCTGGTTTTGCACCAGCCGTAAGAATGTGGTTCAAATGAGTCTATTTTTGTCCACACTCTGGGTGAGATCTTGACTCACCCAGCTCACAATAGCTACAAGGGTAGTTCTCTTTGTTAATGACATAATACCACACAGGGCAGAAGTTGTAGTGAGGTTGATTTCATCCCCTGGTTCTGTTGTCTAAGACCAAGGGGCAGTATCTGGGGATGGTCCTTTGCTGGCTGAGTGCTGAGATTGTGCAGGGCTGTGTAGTGAATCCTCTGGACCCTCTCCTCCCCTCTCCTCCCTTCTCTTCTCCTCCCCTTCCTTCCTTTTCCCTCCTCTCCCCTCCCCTTCTTTATAAAACCACCACAGTTTAATCTTGAGACTCCACCCTGATGACCTCATCTAATTTTAAACCTCCTCAAGGCCCTAAGACTACACAACACAATCAGATAAAGTTTCTGCATTCTTAATAGATCATAGTGGGGATTAAACTCCAACAGAGTTGCAGAGAGAATAAACTGTGTTCAAACCCAGCATGTCCCAGGGGCCCCCTGAAATCACAGGGGTGTTGAGTCTGGGGTGCCTTGATGGGGAAGGAACCTCTGACCAATCCTCAAAAGTAGCTGAGACCCTCAGGAAGGCCAGGCCACCACCTTATTGACTAAAAGCATGTCTGTGAAGCCAGCACACGCAATTTTGCTGGGGGGTTGTGTATTGTTTTTCAGGCAGTTCGATTTCTAACACTCTAAGCTGGAAAATGGAGATCACAGAAAATCTCAGAGTAGACAGTGTACCTGTCTTTTGAAGGCTCCCCTGTGAAATGCCACACACCACTCACAGGAACCTACCAGAAGCCACTTGATGGGTGATGCTGATCATTAGCAATTCCCTGGATAAGGTGAAAGGCCAGCCATCTGCTTTAAACACAAGTGATGAGACAGAACTAGAGACAGGGAAGGGAGAAGAAAAGGGAGAGAGAGTTGGCATGGTGGCTCATATCTGTAACCCTAGCTAACCAAGAGATGGAGGGTCACTACTCAAGGCCAGCCTAGCCAAAAGTTAGAGACTCCATCTCAACCTATTACTGTAATTCTAGCTAGACAAGAAATGTAAATAGGATGATCATGATCCAGGTCAGCTCAGAGCATAAATGTGAGCCTCTATTAACAGAACAATGAAAGTAAAAGGGGCTGGAGGCTTGGTAAGGCAGTAGAAGCAGAAAGAAAGCAATATGCAGGCCATAAATCTTCTTGGTGCCAACAGGAAACAAGTGCTTTTTAAAAATAATCATGACTTTTTTATCTTTAGACCTCCTTCTTGAATTTGCCGATGGCTCTTACCAATGAGCTTGACTGGCCCCAGCTGTCTGGAGCTACTGGATTCCTGGAGTCCACCAGCAGGTATGTGCATTTGCACACACTCAGACACTTATGTGTGTCTGCACAAGGGAAGCAGAGGAGACAAGGCTTGCTCCCAAGAGGCTGAAATGACCATGAGGAATGGTCCCAGAGCATGAATGATATGTGACAACACCTGCCACTAACTTGCAGCCCAGCCACCAGCTGGTGGGATGTCATGTGCGTTGTACTCTGTCCATGCTGTGAGGAAGGTGTACTCCCCTGCCAGGGGAAGGAATGGCCTGTAGTTCACCTCTGATGGAAAGTACCTCAGTAGATATGACATATGAAAAGCTGGCCCCAGTGGCTCATGCTTATTTATCGAGCCACTTGAGATGCTGAGATCAGGAGGAGGATGTTCACAAGACCTCATCTCAACCAAGAGCTGGGTGGAGTGACTCACACCTGTCATCTTAGCTGTATGAGAGGCTGAGATCAGGAAGATCCAAATTCCAGGCTAACTGGAACAGAAAACTCAGAGAGATTCCATCTCAATGGGAGAAGCTGGAGAGGTAATGCAATCTTAGCTATGGCAAACAGTGAAAAATGGGAAGATACCTGTCCAGGAAACAAGACCCTACCTAAAAAATAACCAATGCAAAAAAGACTGGAGGTCTGGCTCAATAGCAGAGTATCAGCCTAAAAAGACCACGTTCAATTCCAAGTACCATCAAAAATCAAAGAAAAAGAAATACGGTATATGATATATTCCTTGTGTGAAAAGGAAAAGAGGGCAGTGCTCCACCTTCTGGTCTAATTACTAGACAGAGCCAGCCTCCCTGCCTCAGGCAGCAATAGCAGAAAGCATCATCTTCATCTTCATCATCTTCAGCAGCAGCAGCATTGTGTATTGTCTGTTCTTTATGCTATTTGCTCTATAACAAATCCCCAGATGGGAAAATAGGTAATCCCAATCTTCAACCAAAATAGCCACCAGACCCATGTATGGCTATCTAAATACCTTACTTCCAAGTGTAGAACCAGGAGTCAATCTATTCTGTGGCTTTCTATAAAACTAGCAGTGGCAGTGAAGGAGGTCCATAGAGGAGCAAACAGCTTTTAAAAAAAATGAAGTTAGCCATAAAAATCCTCCCCCAAAAGCCCAAATATAGTTATAGTCCCAAGCCAGGGTACAAATGAGATCAGCAGGTCAACATTAATGAAAGCCAGTCAGATGGAATTTTCAAGATAAAATATTGTTCTCTCTACTGCTTGACATAAATTTGTTACGTTGGACCAGACATAGCAAACACTTAAGAAGAAATAGACAAAGCCACTGTTGCATGCCCACAACTAACACCATTCAAGGACATTTAATACATCTTTGATGAGAGGTGTCCTAGAATCTGCGTGTTAAAGGTTATCTATTTTCTCCTACCCTGTTGATATTACATGAGAGAATAATTTTGGAAAACAGAGCATCCCTCTGAACCAAGTCACTGGGGCATTAATACTAGCAAATTGGAGAGTAGAGATTTACAGATAAGATTTGTTAACCTAATTTCAAGCTAAAAAAAAAAAGACATGTACGTACTAAACACTAATGGGTATAATAACCTTATTAAATCCATTATTCACAAATTACGTGGGATATAATTGCAAGTGATTAGCTTGGTTGTAATTATACTTTGTTAAACAAATAATTAACCAGAGAGTTGGTCATCTGAAGTTGGGCATAACTAACTGGAGTGAGACAGAATCCTCGGCAGAGGGCATCCACGCGCGCTCCATGGCCCACTTGAGTGTATATGGGTGGGGGGGGTGCTCTTGAAGGTCCCTTCAGGGCGTGTATCAGGTGAATACTACTTTCCCAGAAATAGTAAAACAGTATATAGTGAGACTATGCATTGGTACTGATGGCTTGAAGGTAATGGTAGTCAAAGTTGTTGGTGGATCAAAGTTGTTGGCCTGAATCAAAGCACTTGTACAACCTGCGTGGATGGCTATCATGTCCTTCATCTGCACATGCCAGCTGAGTCCACAGGGAGCATCTTCCCTTTCATACATCACCTCTGACTTTCTACATTGAGTATATGATTGCTAATCATTTAAGTAGGTGAAATGCAAAGAATGTGCAAAGCGCTTTAGTCAGATAAGGATCAACAAAGTCCGGTGGTTGTCTTGAGGGAAAAAACCTTGTGCAGGTGTTTTTATAGACCACTGTTGTTGAAAATGGTTATAGCTTGGACTTGGAGATGTGGATCAAGTGCTAGAGTGTTAATCGCGAGTGAAAAAGCAGAACAAGAGCTTGAAGCTCCGAGTTCAAGCCTTTAGTACTGGCACAGTAAAAGGAGAGGAGAGGAGAGGAAGAAAGAAAAGAGGAGAGAAGGAGAGAAGAGAAGAGAGGAAAGGAGAGGAAGAGAGAAGAGAGGAAAAATAGTCTACATAACAAATTGCTAAATTATGGCTTTTCAGACTTTTATATCTAAAATAAATAAAATTAGCTTATTACTTCAAGGAAATAATGACAGTATTATTTGTTAATCATAAAATTAGAACTTTCAAAAAATTTGAATTTCAGAAAATGTGTCTCTTCTAGGAATTTTCTAGTGAAATACACCACAATATTAATATAATTATTTTTTCAATACTGTCACATGGAATGTTATCGATGGAATGCTATATATCTGCATAACTCCGTGACCTAGATGACAAGTATGTGGTGTATAAAACCATCCATAGATAAAAAGCACAAGGAAGACTACACGCTATAAGTCAATCGGGGGCAAAACCCAATTTCAGATTTCATACTGCAACTCAGCAGTGTTTAAGAAGCTAACACTTGTCAAGTTTGGTATAGGATCAAGGAAGTCTGTATAGTTATGCAAACAGTACATGTAAAATGCTGCTCCCTTTTCCAGTCATACATATGCAGACAGCCAGTTTCTTCACTTAGAGTTCCCAAAACTATGCATCACTGTGACTGCATGCAGAAATACATGACTCCAACTGTCTCCACTATCTTCTACTAAGCCAGATATGGAAGATATTTGCAAAGACATAAAACCATGAGGTTTGGGATTTTTTTCTGATAAAAATGGCTAAAATGTAATGGGTTTACTATTGTTATTTAAAATGAATTAATAGGGCCAGGCATGGCAGCACACACCTGTAATTCCAACTACTCAGGAAGCAGAACGGGAAGATCAAAATTCAAGATTAGCCCAGGCTAAAAAGGTTTGAAACCCTATGTAATTTTTTTAAAATCAATACTAGTAAAAAGAGGCATGATTGAAGTCACAGAACACTTGTCTAGGAAGCATGAGGCCCTAGTTTAAATCCCAGTACCTAATATAAACCTAATAATAAGATATTCACTCAAGTTTCCTCATTTAATTTCTCATATAATAAATACGGATACATCTAATAATATTATTAAAATAAATGTTGTTACATATAACTAACAGTAGCTGTCTGGGGTCCTCACCAATTTAGTTTAAAGTGGTTTTGAGATCAGAAGTTAGCAAACTTCTGTGCTAAGAAGTACATATCACAGAGACAGAGGGATAGCCATGGCTGGAGACCTGAAAGTAGAGGACAGAGAAGGGGCAGAGGCTGAGGGATGGCCACGGCTGGGGATCTGGGAGCAGAGGGCAGACCTTGGAGCAGGGAACAAACCAGCAACACTGACCATGCTGGGGCCAGGTGATGCATGTGTGTCTAAGAAGTGACAGCCATGCATCTAATGCTGTTGGAGCCAGAGGAAGTTGACACTGAGGTGGAAGAGATGGTGACCATGAAGGGAGGCAGGACAGAGGCAGTTCAGTGGGGTGGGAGTGGCCACCTGGCTGGGAAGAGGTGGGTCAGAGGGCAATGGAGCGGTCGCAGGTGGTTTTCAACAAGACCATTGTTATAAAGTACTAGCTAGCATTTCATAGTCTGGTGCTTTCTTTCTCCTATTGATGAACATTCAATGTATTCTCAAAGACTCAGTATAGGAATGAGATTAAACATTTCTGTCCCTCTTCTTTATGAAGATGTATACAGATTGCTTTGAAAAAGAAGAATTGCTGAATCAAAATACCTACGTGCTTCATTTCTTATAAGCCTTCCAAATGCACTACCCCAATTTATATTCTCCCAATTAATACATAAGAATATTTTTCTCTCTGTATCCTCGTCAATACTGGATATTTTCCAACCTATAATTATTTCCCAATCTAATAATAACTTATTTTTGTTCTAAATTGTAACCTTCTGGTTGCTATGGAGCAGCTTTTCGTAGACATCGACCCTAGTCTTTCTTCATCTGCTCAGGCGTCAACTCTACCACTGAAGGAGAAAACTCTCTAATCCATCTAAGGGGAGGATGCTACTCTGAGCTCCTCTTGTCTTCAAGGATGTCCACATGGTATGCTTCATTTTCCCTGCCCTGTGCTCAGACTGAGCCTCTGAATGAGCAATCAGGTGGCTTCACTTTGTAGCCCTAGTACCTGGCACAATAGACAATCCACAGCTGGTAACCCGTAAAAGAACTGAACCAGGGGCTGGGAAGGTGGCTCCAGTGGTAGAGCGCTTGCCTTGCAAGCATGAGGCCCTGGGTTCAATTCCTCAGCACCACATAAGCAAAAAGAAAAAATCCGGAAGTGGTGCTGTGGCTCAAGTGGTAGAGCGCTAGCCTTGAGCTGAAGAGCTGAGGGACAG